CATCCATCCAAAACCTTTTTGGAACATTCATGTGTAACATCATCCCGCGAGCTACCTCAAGGAGGTGTCTGTTTTTTCTTTCTGCAACACCATTTTGTTGTGGTGTTCTTGCGCATGAGCTCCTATGAATAGATCCGTGGGAGGCAAAGAACTCATTGAGCTCACCATGGAAATATTTCTTTGCATTGTCGGATTGGAAGATCTGTACTTCAACATGGGATTGCGTAAATACCATCCTTTGGAAGTCTTTCACAATCTTTGGAACTTCGTCTCTACTACGCATAGGAAATACCCATGTATAGCGAGAGTAGTCATCGATCAATGTGATAAAGTACTTATACCCGCCCTCAGAGATTATAGTAGTAGGCCCCCATACATCAGAATACACAACATGAAAAGGAACACTTGATCTTTTATTATTTGAGTGAAAGTTGTTCTACATTGTTTGCTCAACTGACACGTTTGACACTGGAACTCTAACATTGAACATGACTTAAATAAAACTGGAAACAAAGACTTTACTATTTCAAAAGAAACATGACCTAACTGACTATGCCACAAAAAAATTTGACTCTTATTTGATTGACTATGTGACTCTGAGGATGACACCGAGAGACCAACTTTGTTGTCGATAAAATGTAGAGACCATCCACTAGGCTCCCTCTATCAATCGTCCTCCCAGAAGTTAGATCTTGAAAAACACATGAACCAGGAAAAAACGCATTACCTGATGTAGATGCAAATGAAGTAGAAGGAGTACCAGTGACTGAACTATCCATTTGTCGCAAAGCCCTACCATATGACTCCAAGTGGTCTCTGAAGGAATTCATTATATCTTCCTTGGGGTCAAAATTAGTAAGGTGGCCCCGGGTAGTACCGGTAACTTGAGTATCTTGGGTTGCCACATGTGCTGCATTATGTGTTGTGTTCATCTTCTTCTGACCTTGCCCATTACCCTGTTTTTGGCTCTTCAATGCCCATTTGGGTTTCCCGTGAATGTCCCAACATGTGTCACGTGTATGCTGTGAGCGCCGACAGTGGGTACAAAACAACTTGTCTTTATCATCAGCCTTTTTGGTGTCACTTTTCTTCCCCATGTTATTATTACTCATTGCAGCCAAAGCAACTTATTGCTCCCCCTCGGTTGTAACCATCACACTCCACCTACATTTTTCCGATTGAACAAGGGCATATACCTCGTGAACCGACGACAACTCTTTGCTTCCTAAGATCTGAACTCTCAAGGGTTCAGTCCCAACAAGAAGGCAAACACACGCTATTGAGAAACC